ATAATAATATACATTGACACATACACAAAGGTAGTATAGATTACCGGGTCGGGCAAGCATTCGACATTCCAGCACTACACACTTTTCTTCCCAGTTCAATGACCGCATTTAAACACTATTTATCGACATTTTGCAATATTGATATTTTCATAAAAAAAAATATTTCCATTATGATACTATCTTTGTATAAATTAGACCTGTCATTTAGTGATCTACAAATAACAAAATAACTAAATAGTTTTTTATAAGTCTTATTTCATTTTAAAATAAATAAATTTCAATAGTTATTACAAACGATTATCGTGTTCAATAATTTATTCGTTTACACTTCTAAGCAAATACATTTCACAATGGCTACTTAGTTTTACTAGCCTACTGATTACATTATATACTTACATTATCAATAAAATAAAACTTACAGTACCAATAATATAAATTTACGTTCCCATCTTTGTTGTTAAGTTTGAAACTGATGGACATTTAATTATTATTTTTTTGGTGGATTTCGTATTTAATTTGTTTTAATTTGTTTATTTTTCGTTGAACTTGAATTGTATAGTTTTTATTTTTGTGTAATTATGTAAATGTGAGTATAGTGTAGGCTTATAATGTTAATTCATATTTTAGTAACTTCCTGGTGGTTTTGAGTATTTCCACGGCCTACCCAAATGTCCTGCTGGCGGTAGTGACATGCTTCGGGTCGGGAATATTGGTTAAGCTACACGATGGCTGAAGCCTGTATGCCGTCTGTATGAACAGGCCGACTCAAAACTATGGTCCTTTCTTCAAAAGGCCTACTGTACTCGCACATTTTTATTTAACTTTGTTTACGGACTTCAAAAAAAAGACACCTCTGTGGTTTGTTTCGGCGTTTCTTCCCAGAGTGAGTCTTAGGAAATGCCGGCTCCTTCTAGCTATAAAGTCCGACTTGTCTGAAAATATCTGAAAAGATTTATTTACAGAAATAAATATCATTTATAATGGCGATGTGGTTGGAAAGATTTATTTTCTCTAATATTTTCAATTTGCACGCTTTGTTTCCTAAGAGTCGTTTGGTGAAGCTATTACACCCTGTATTCCTCAATAATTACAAGTACTCTATGCATAAACGCTTGAGTAGTAAAGTCAAGATCTACGTAGGCTCTACAAGGGTTAATCAATATCCAATGTAATCTGTAATCGATTAAAACTTATTTACACTACAGAGTCCCTGAAGTCTTGTAATAATGCAATAGCATTGATGTTCAGTATGGATACAACATAACAGTACATTATCCTTTGAGAGAATGTCTTTTATTTATGAAAATCATTTAACTTCGATGCAAAAAATAGCCTATAATAACATGTCTAATCGCAAAACTTAGATCATACAAATCAAATCATATGATCTGAGTCGCGATATGTGTTAATATCGTATTGGCATAGTTTTAAATTATTTTTATAAAATTTAGGTTAAAATTATTTAGTTTTAAATTATTTTTATTTAAAGAATTTAATTATTATTTTTATAAAATTTAATTTTAAATAATTTTTATAAATATAAAATTTAGTTAATATATAAAAAATTTACACAATTATTTTCATGTCATCATCCTGTAGGAGGACATGGAGCAAAAAGGGCAATAAAGTCAGAAAGTGCAGTGAAATAAATATAATTTAAAATTGGAACATGAAATAAGAAAGAAGCGATATGCAATTACTTTAGAGAAAATGAATAATATCCAACAATCAATCAGAATGAGTTTAATAGACTTTCTACATGGGAGGAGAACTCTAATGGCACCGTAAAACAAGTTACATAATCTACGCAATTATAAATGATAGAAATATTATTGAATTAATAATCAAGTAATTCTTGAATAACAAACCTTTTAGCAGAAGAGCGTAAGGAAAAAAATTAAGAAGATATTAGAACACTTGCTTTTAAGTAATTTAAAAATCGATCCACTTACTTTGAGATGGAACTAAGATTTTTCTACGAAACTCAATCAGTTTATAGATAAATTGGCCAATTTGTACTCTAATCGTCTGCTCGAGAAAGTTTGTCTGTAAATGATATACACACTCATTTTAACATAGTTGCAACGCGTTTAGCATTGAATTCTTCAAAAACGACTGATAACATGTACTTAGAAGTCACTTACAAGCCGTATTGTGCAATAAGGACTTGTTGTTTCATTTTGATAGTAACTTGTTTAAACTTGACTATCTAATTAGGTGATCGATTGAGATGTCCCACTATCGGCCACCTGCTGGTACATTTGTATATAAAGCCATGTAGGTATGAGCAAATACTCAGTGTAGTTGTTGATTGCAGACATATAATTATGGAGTTTTATGTGTTAGTTTTAAAAACAGTTTTTATTGCAATCGCTGCAGAGCCCTCTTGGGTAGAGACACCTGGTGATGGTATTGGTAAATAATATTCCTTACACATGAATACTCATGTTTAATAAAATAGTGTTTCCAGGTCTTACTAAATAGTCGAATATTTTTTTCTGTCGTTAAATAATAGAATAGAGGTAAGAAGTCTTATGTTAAAAATACATACATAATTGATTTAACTTCAGCACCTGACTTGCTAGCTCGGCTAAACTCATACCCACTTTCAAAATCATACCTTTTCAAAAGCTTCTTTCTAAGGAGAGGCCTATACTCATCCACTGGACTACTAAAGGCTGTTGATGATGAGTGATGCTGTCTTTTATTTAGAACTATACTTAAAATGTAATATTAGGGGAGAAAGCTATAAGCAGTTGCCCGGGCCGAAAACAGTTTCCCGGGGTGAAGTGGTGTTGGCGGTGTCCTTGGACATTGCCAACGCGTTCAACACTTTGCCCTGGAGTTGCATCAGGGAGGCGTTCGTGTATCACGAAGTCTGATCTGGCACGGCATATCTGATACGGCAGCTGCCGGGCTGGGTCTCGAGGTGGCTCTGCACAAATCCGACGCCTTGTTCTTCCAAGGGCTTCCGAGGAAGCCACCTGAGGGATCTAGCCTCATAGTTGGAGGCACTCGCATCGCCATCGAGCCCTCGATTAGGTATCTGGGGCTCGTACTTGATGGCCGATGGGAGTTCATCATTTCCGAAGTCTGGTCCCCAAGATGGTTCGGGCAGCGCGTGCATTGGCGTGGCTGCTGCTCAACATGAAGGGGGTCCTTTGATGACTCCTGCAGGAGACTCTACTCGGGGGTTGTGCTGTCCATGGCCCTTTATGGGGCCCTAGTATGGCCCGCCCATGGAGGCCCTGGAAGGCCAGCAACGTCGCACTACTGCGACGACCGCAGCGAGTGCTGGCCATCAGGATCATAAGGGGGTACCGCAAGATCTCCTTTGAGGCGGCGAGTCTCCTGGCCGGATCTCCACCGTGGGACCTGGAGGCGAGAACCCTTGCGGCTCTGTATCTGTGGCTCAAGGAGGCGCGGGAGTAGATTCGGAGTCCTGAGACTCGAGAAATCGATGACCGGAAATCCCAACTCCACCGGGTCCTCGTAGGAGAGTGAAAGGAACGACTTGGGCAACCGAGCGCCGGGCACGCTATGAAGGATTGGCTCGAGAGGCATCACGGGATCCTCTCATGCCGACTGACGCAGGTGATCACTGGAAAAGGAAGTTTCGGGGATCACCTGTGTCTGATCCGCTAGGAGCCAACGCCTGAGTGCCACCACTGCGATGCTCGGACCGTGGAAACGGCGCTCCACACGCTGGCAGAATGCCCGGCTTGGGTGGAGCAGAAGCGTGACTTCGTGGCGGCCATCGCTCGATAACCTGATTGCAGCTATAGATAGCAGTGCGGAGCGAGAGTGCGTGTAACTCTGCCGTCTCCTTCTGCGAGCAAGTTATGCTTGCGAAGGAGATGGCGGACCTGGACAGGGAGAGGTTTAGAACTCTGCCGGCCCGCCAGGCTCGGGAGCGGGCCAGGTACCGCAGACGACTCAAGCGCCGGAGGTCGCAGAACGACCCTCTTCCTCCATAAGCGCAGGCCTGGGGTGACAGGTGAGGCCATCTGTCACCCTAGCAGAAGCAGGCCGGGGTGGCGGCGAGCGCGCTGCGAGGCGCATGCGCTTCGCTTTCCGGGAGCACAGAGGGAACATGGGGGTTCCCACACAGCCCAGCCACAGCCACAGTTGCCCGAGGTACGTCGGGGCACCAGCGGTTTCCTTTCTAGGGTACACCTGGTTCCCCAACCACTGGTACCTGAGACGGCTTGTGGTTTTAGTCGGTTCGAGTCCCTCATTGTCACCGGTATGTGGTATCCGAGGGGATTTCCGCACAGAAAAAAAAAGAAAGGGGTGAAAGCCATAGTGAATAACGCCATGAAGAACCACCATTACCATTACCATTACCTTTTTATTGGTAAGCTTTTGAAGCGTTTGACCTGGGGTTTTTCACTTACGGTTATCGTAAACAATCCACTTTTTGCCACATGTCAGAATTCGATCCAATATTCCCTCATTTCTGTATCGATTCAATAAGGCAACACAAGTTTCAACACGCATTTCTTTCTGCCGATGAGTTAACTCATGAGGCACTAATATTAACATATTTTTTTACCTCATTGATTTGATGCAAAGGCGTCAATATTGTAGGTAAGGTAACGTTAAACCATGCCGCTAATTCTTGGGTAGTTTGACTCGGATCGGCTTCCACCATCTTCAATTCAGCGTTATTCACCTGTGCGACTGGAAGAACGAACCAAGTGGAAGACCGCCCATCTAACAAACAATTGAAAACTATAAAAAACAATTGAAAGTCGAAAATCGAATGTCTCACATTTTTTAAAAGAAGAACCTCATATATATCATGTAAAAAAAGTTTTACACAAAAATCTCACACCATGAAGGTTTTATGTCAATTCAAAGTATCTATTACTATACAATGGCAATTTCATACTTAACCCCTAATATTTTAGGAAAGAAGCATAGAATCTCAAGCATATACAAAGAAGAGAAATCAATTTAAGCAACGCAACGCAAGCGAGTTTTTCAATTTTTTTATAATGTTTGCAGAGGAATATGGTGACTACTTTGAGGGTGATATGCTCTTAACAGAGGCGCAACGTAAAGAGATTGAAAATGCGAAAATTTCCGACGAGGACAACGAAGACAATACACCTAAAAACGGGCTGATCTATGCTCATTTACGCTGGCCGAATAATACTGTTGTGTATGATATCGTCGAGGGTGATTTCAGTAAGTCATATAATAAAGCTAAGCTAAAAGGTAGTACAGTTTTTGCCCGAGGCTCCGCAGGTGTGTATGGATACAAACCTAGTTAAGGAGCCTGATGTCCGAGTACGTATAATATAAGGGATATGCCCTCATATTATACGTATCCCTAGCCATGTTGTGAGCTATTTGAATTGTGTATTTTGTGTATTTAAGTATTATCGTTATGTGTAAAAGGGTTTATAGCGTCAACAAGGAGTTTATTTCTTTATATTCTTCTCACTTTAGCCAGCGGGTCCGGCCGCTTGTATATCGGTTATCGCAGTAACAAGTAGCCCACATTACTCGCTAAACATAAAAATCCATTTGCAAAAGATGGTTTTTAATCGGTTTAGTGATTTAGGCGTGAAGTGTATGCTTAAGCAAACGAACTCACTTTTACAATTATAATACAAATATGAAGGTATAGATTTAAATAACTTTCTATTAAAGTTTCTATATATTTCCAACAAATGGCTAACTTTTGAAATAAATACATATTTATATAATAATAATACATAATATTTTAGTAAAGTATTAGGATTGTTTATCGTGTTAAATTTAAAAGGCTAGTCAATCGAAACTTTTCATAAAAGACTTATATTATACAGACATACAGTTTTGCACGTAGTGTCTCAGAAAACAAGTAATATATAATAATAAAATAAAAAATATTTCCGACATTTGACAAACATCGCCATCTAGTTTCCAACTAAGCAGAGCTTGTACTATGACATCTAGATTGACTGATAGAATACTTGGGTACCTATATACTTTTTTTTTGTAAAACATACATAATATACATAGAAAACACCCAAACTTCGGAACAAATATTCTCAGATCATTTACGAATATTTGGTCTGACCCGAGAATCGAACCCTGGACTGCAGCACAGCAGTCGCATACGCTACCACTGCACCACCGATATAATTCATAGAATGACTCGACTGTCTCCATCTAAAATACTACTACACTACCTTGTAAATCCTATACAATATTATAAATGGAACGTCTTGCACTCGGCGTTTAAGCCTACCTAACCGATTATCGTAAAATTGATACAAAAATATCTATGCCTTATCAGGAATACAGAATGAGGTACAGTACCAATACAGAACGTAAATGAGGTACTTTCCAGAAAAGTGCCGTTTTCAAAGAGTAGAATTTTTTAACAAAAGGCTGCAGACAAATGACTATGTATATTATAGATTCTGCTGGACTTCATACCTAACAGAATGTGTTTAAAAAAATTACAGACTTTCCTTCAGACCTATGAGATACTTATAACAAAAGGTACTTATTAATAGGTATCGGTACAATGTTCGAAAGACGACCATGACAATAAATTCCTCGCATCGCTGATGCTGTTATATATGCTACACACGTTTTGGTAGCCCTATACATGGCCTCGTTTACTTTACATGTCAGCGGATAGACAAGAATCTAATTACCATTCTAAATGTTGCACTTAATGATAAGCTTTTGAAATACTGTATAATACTCGTAACATGTACGAGTATATTTACATCAAAGGTAACACATATGAAAAAAACATATCCATAGTAACACTAAAAACACCTAAGCGCCTTGTTTAATGTTATATAGTTAGAAATCCATATCCATACTAATGTTGTAAATGCGAAAGTGTGTGTGTGTGTGTCTGTCTATCTATCTGTCTGTTGATGGAATTTGGTACAGATATAGTTGGAGTCCCGGGAAAGGACATAGGACAGCTTTTATCCTAGGAATTTTCCTTTATGGGGATGAAAAGGAGGGAGGGGAAAGATTAAGGGGACGATGGAGGAGGGATGAAAGGGTGGAAGTTAGTATGGGGAATCCATAACCGCTATACCGATTTAGATGAAATTTGGTATGGAGATAGTTTGATTCTTGAGGAAAGACATTGGCTCCTTTTCACGGCGATAACCAACATACACACGGGCGGAGTCGCGAGCAAAATCTAGTAATTAATATATTGTAAAACCTACAGAGTACTGAACTTGCGTTGATGTATTGAAGCCTTTGTAGGAAATTTGATATTCATAGATTTGTATTTAAAATTTCTTTTTATCAGTTAAGACAGAGTAGAACCTGAGAACAGAAATAAAAATTAGGCCTGTTTTTTTTAGCAGTAGTCTGGACTATTTCTAGGAAAGTTCTTTGTGATGAAGTACGCATTTGTTTTGAGTAGTTTTTTACTAAAGGGACTTTCTATTGTTGCCTTGCCCTAACTATGCTATTACTCAGTGCTGTTTAACGATTTTATACACGACGTCAACTATGTACATTAATTACTTTCGTATAAGAATACAGTATTATTTTATGTAACAGACAAGGAACAAAAAAGAATGTTTGAAGACGGTTTACAAGAAATTGCGGGTAAAAGTTGTGTTCGATTTCGTAGGAGAAAAAGCAAAGATGAATACGCCGCCATTTTACAGGTATTTTATACTTCTACATCGGCTATACTTATCCGTGCAATTATGTAAATTTCACTAAGTTTTTCACTATAAGAAAAATATTTTTGATTTCACAATTTATAACCAAATGCATCCGAGCGACATTAAATTTGATATTCTCTATCTCGGGCGTCTCGCAGCTAAATCGTAACCGAGTAAAGTGAAAAACGCAACTTGGAAATTTCTGATCTAGAGATATATTTTAAACTAAAGTTGATCTTTAATATTTATTGTTTATATTTATAACTAATTCAATGACATTTCAAGGGTAAGCGCGATGGTTGCTACTCTGATGTAGGGTACAACAAGGCAGATAGTAAGAAAAATCAAAGGATCAACCTGTCTAAAAATTGTTTCGTACATGGCACTATAGTACATGAGATACTGCACACTATTGGATTTTTCCACATGCAGAGCACTTACGATAGAGATGACTATGTCACAATTTTTTGGGAGAATATTGAAACTGGTAAGTGATTTGTTGATTCGAGTATAAACATACAAAAAAACACTTTAAATATTTAATACAATAAGATATTTTCGTATTAAAGTCAATACACATGAAAAATTAGTTATTTTATTGACTGAGCACGGCTAACGACCGATGTTGGATAGCAGTATGTACTAACTTCTTTGTTTTGTCTGAAACTTTTATATTCTATTTAAATCCAGAAAAACATAATTCACCTTCTATAGAAAACGACGACAAAGCTCGTTTAAGTATAGTAAATATGAATGCCAACCTTGTATCTAATTTTATATAGCGGATTGCCAGAGCAAAAAACGAAAAACGAAAACGAAACCAAGTTTCGAAACCAGTTTCAAGATAAGAATAATATTTCTTCTTCTTTTGAAACTCGTTACGAGGCTTAGCTTTCTATTGACGTCCGTCGAGTTGAGGGTTGATATATTTTGTACAGAATGATTACATTATTATAAGCACACGCGCAAAGTTTCAATATGTGGAGACGAGTAGTTTTTGAGAAAATAATAATTAATTGAAAATCAATAGTTTTATCAATATTTATGTCAATCCCTAGCACAGATTATATAGAATTCTCGCCATTCAACGTTACGTTTTACCTACGGTTATGTTGCCATACGTTCGGTAACATTTTATTTTATATAAAATTTAAGTAAATAATTATATTATTATGTTGTACTCATTTCAATAGTTTTCATGCACACATATATTTAACAGTTTATATACATTTAATTATAGCACTATATTCATTACGAGCTATAAAATTAAAATGTGTAGTGTTTACCGTCTTGCTTTTGCCAGCTTATGGAACGAAACGCAAAACTGACGCCATTTATAAATTATTAATTATTATTTAATTTGCTTTATTTTAACAGTACCTATTGGGCAGATAACAAATAAATTAGGTTAGGTTCAACTTATAGCAAAGAACTGAATTGATTGACATCTAGTACGAGTCTGTCCTATCCCCAGAGTGTTTTTATAGAGCCGGAGCTGCGTAGAAAGAAAAGCCTCCGCCCGCTGTAACAAATAGATGCCTGCGATTTGTTTGTAACGCTAGGGCGTAGAGGCTGCTCTTACCGCAGCGATGCAGATGTTGTAGTCGCTAAATACATGCTGAAAGCCCTCTGAATCAGTCCCCCTATTTTTTTTATGAAGAGGGTTCCCTTCTTTCGTAAGGAGAAACCCATTCCCGTCCAAAGGTTCCCTCATTATTTTACACTTATTATAATTTTAATCCATAAAATGTAGAAAATTTCCTCAGAATTATAAATTAAAAAAAACTGGAAAAGGGCCTCCCCCTTTTCCAGTTTTTTTTAATTTATGCTCTGCAATTTTTCCTTTTAAGGGGGGTAATACCGTAATGTAAAATCGTACCTGTTACGATAACGGAATAATGTTTCTTTTTTCTAAAATTGTAAATAAACTATATTTCACATCACATCACATCAACAGCCTTTAACAGTCCACTGCTGGACACAGGCCTCTCCTTAAAAAGGAGGTTTTGGCCTACTATACCACGCTGGCCAGACGGGTTGGTATAGGGTTTGTGTCAAGTTTTCCCTCTCTTTGCAGCGCCGTTCTCCTGCGCAGTTTGCTCCCCCAGTCGGCTCCTACACTATATTTAGATAGATATAATTAATTTCATAATAAAAGAGACTACTGTAGTTGCTACAATCGTTGTAGAAATTATAAATAGAGGATGTCATAGTGCAACGATATATTAGAGTAGCAATCGCACAAGAAAACACAAGTAATTTTAAGTGTGTCTTTAATTTAATTAACGCCTTTCATTTAATATCGTTTTCATCGTATGTAAGTGGTCAGTAAATTGTTTCTTATCCATCAAAAGAGATTTTATTTATGTTTCGAAAGAAGACACATTATTCTTTTATCGAAACCAGTTTCGAAAATATTTATTTTTTAAAACTGGTTTTGAAATTTGGTTTCGTAGACAGCCGAAGGTTGCTGTACATATACAGAAAATAATAAACTGTCCATTTTCTGAATACATTCTTAACGCAGGTAAAGAAAGCAATTTCGCTAAGTATACCAATAGAACAGTAACAGATTTTGGACTTCCGTACGATTATGGTAGTGTGATGCATTACGGGGAGAAAGCATTCTCTAAGAATGGGCAAAACACCATGACTCCAAAAAAGGTAGGTAATCAATATTTTTTTAAACGTCTAAAACTGTTTTTTAAACACGAAGTTATTTAATAGACTGTTAGTAAGAATACGCAAAAGGAATCGATCCTATCGATATTCCGTCCAGTATCTGTACTATTCGGTAGTATTTATAATTTATAACACCGTGTGGTGACGGATTAAGAATACAGAGTGTCACCACCCCTATTCATCCCGTGGGTGTCGTAAGAGGCGACTAAGGGAGCAAAATACGCAGGAGAGGCCTATGTCCAGCAGTAGACTAGTAAAGGCTGTTGATGATGATGATGAACTAGAAATGTTTAAGGAATATGCCTTAAAAGAGCTAAATAACAAGAGACAAATGTTTGACAATCTTGAAGTACAGGTTTAAAATTGACCCCAATGCTTGTACGCGAGCAATACTTTGAAGTATGGAATGGAATTCGTTCCATGCTCCATGCGTTCGTTTACCATGCTTTACGAAGTCTCGATACACTTCATACGACACTAGTAATAAGTAGGTACAACATCGATTTTTTGACACCGTATTCCTACACGATAGCAAAAAAAGTGGTTCCTTGTGCATATTTTTTTATGGAAGAGGGAGCAAACAGCATATAGACACATAAAACTGTTTTTGTAACTCACACTTAGAAATCTCTCCGTTTTGCGTGAAAATATGGAAATGGATAATAAGATTCTACGTATTTATAGAAGTACCATTTGACTGCTATTCTTACTTTTGTTTTAGTCGCATCTTGTTTGCATTTCAGGACGGTGCAAAGATCGGTCATAGAAAAGGTTTATCAAAAAGTGATAGCATAAAATTGAACAGAATGTACAACTGTCCAAAAGAAGAAACTACTACGGCAAGAGAAACAATAATGGATTGGAATTTCTTGAATGGTCTACCTAAACCATGGCAGTATTTGCATTGACCAGAAAGTATTTCACATAATTTTGATGTCAATAAATAGTTAAATGCAATGTGTCTTCGCGTGTAATAGCGTAGACTTGTACATTCCTAGCCTTTATTTCCCATCTGCCTAAGTGCTAATCCAAGACATTTAGAATAGCTAAGTGCAGAATTTAAAACATATATTTTTACTCTACCTACCTACTACTAATAAATAAATTACTCTTTTTTATGACTTTTATTATGGAATATTATTTATTTATTTATTTACTTCATTTAGGAAAACCAACAGCTACCAAAATGAAATGGTCAGATGGATATACCACATAAAGCCAATTACAGGTTTTAACGAATAGAATCATTGCAATTTAACAGAGGTTCTAGATCACCAACTCACACGACACGACACTACACTATTGGAAAAAAATAAGGTTTAGTATACTGCGCACAACATTGCTTTTGGTATAAAGGGATCAAAAGAGTACTCCTTGCACAATTTATTGTAATCGCTGCTCGCTGGAACAATATATGAGTTTTTTCTATAGTTGGAGGAAGAAAATGGAATAGAAATGGGTGGATTAAATCTAATCGACTTATGGGGGACATTAAATTTTAACCTTTGCAGAAGGCTAGGACAGTCAATCTCATTAGAAATAATTTTCAAAAGATAGAAACAATCAGACAATCGTCGTCGATTTACAAGTGGCTGGATATGAAATTTCTTACACAGACATATTATTGTTTGAGCTATAAGGAATATTTAGACGAAAACCCAAGAACCTCAGAAAACGTTTCTGTATGTTCTCAATGCGATTGATGTACCTATGATAGCAAGAGTTCCAAAATTGCGAAGCATACTACAGGTGGTTCCTAATAAAAGTACAGAAGAGAATTTTAAGCGTTTTAGCTTCAACAAAACATTTGGAAATTCTCATTACAAACTCCAAAGCCTCGGAAGCTTTAGCAATAATTTGCTCAATATGCACATCGAACAGTAGCTTCGCATCATAGTAAACACCAAGGTCTCGCACCCCATCACATCTTGGTAATACTTGTCCCTTAAGTTCATATGGTGCTAGTATTGGAGAACGTTTCCTACTAAACGTGACGACTGAGCATTTAGCGGGGTTTAGTTCTAATTTGTTTATTTGACAGTAATGGTCAAGTCGTGATAAGTCTGATTGAAGAGTCTGCGCATCCTTTGCCGATGATATTACGGAATATATCTTCATATCATCAGCAAAACATTATCAAATCAAAAAATTATCATTATCAAATCAAACTGCACACATGCATCGAACGCGTGCATATACATCACTTCTTACAAGGAGCTATCTTTGTTTTAATGAACATATATTACATTTTTATATGTATATAACGGGTCTAACAATAGGGATGACCTGGTTTTGACAACTCATAGCGGCCATGTTTGATGATGGATCTTTGACGTCTCTTGACATTTGTGTTCAGTAAGGTTTGCCATTTTATCATGTCACATTTCACTTTAAACCAACGCTTGGAAATTGTCCAAAATTATTACGCAAATTCGCGTTCTCCTACCGCTACAGTAAGAGCGCTTCGCGCAAAAAACGGTCGTCATAGTGCTCCTTCTGTGCGCGCTATAAATCGCATAATAACAAAATTTGAAAGTGAACTTACTCTCCACGATACTGCTGTGCCTGTGAGACAAAGAAACGCCCGTAGTAAAGAGAATATCGCAGCCGTTCCCGCCAGTGTTGATGCGAATTCAAATCGATCAGTTCAACGCCGTATATCAGTCCAATGACCACCTGGCGTATTTTGCGGTTGGATTTGGGCCTACACCCATACAAAATTGATTTGACACAAGCCATCCGACCATTGTATCCGTCGTGAATTTGCCGATTATGCACTGGAAATGATGGAAGCCGATGACGATTTTTCTCGTAAAATCATCTTCTCAGATGAGGCCCATTTGTGGCTCAATGGATTTGTTAATAAACAAAATTGTCGCTATTTGAGTGAGTCAAATTCACGTGTGGTTCATGAAAAATAACAGTTTGTTGCGGTTTATGGTACGGTGGAATCATTGGTCCGTACTTCTTTGAAAGTGACGAATGAAACCCTGTTACTGTGAATGGCAAGCGCTATAACTCGATGTTAACCGAATATTTCTTTCCGGAATTTGATGATATTGATGCAGACGACCTTTATTTTCAATAATACGGTGCACCACCTCATATTACTTGAGTGAACATGGAATTATTGCGTGAAAAGTTTGGGGAGTCGTTAATTTCGAGAAATGGACCAATCAGTTGGCCACCAAGATCGTGTGATTTAACACCTTTAGATTATTTTCTTTTGGGGTTACATTAAATCTAAAGTGTAGAGCAATAATCCAGCTACCATCATCATCATCCAGGTCAATTCGTAACCTAAAAACCAACATTCGACTAGCCATAGCCGACATACCGGCCGAAATGGTGCACCGCGTCATTAAAAATTGGCGTGAGCGGGTGACCGTCTGTAAAAAGAGCCGCGGCGGTCATTTGGCCGATATATTATTTAAAACATAAATTGCATAAAATTATCTATCAAATAAATCAATCGGATGCATTTTTCATAAAAAATTGTGTGTTTTATTCAATTTTTAAATCAGTACGTTCTTATTGGTAGACTTGCCACTGTCATTATGTTTATTTCTTTAAATTTTTGCCTTAATGAACAACGATCGCCTAAATTATAAATTGATCAAAACGCTCGCTTTTGCAGCACAGCCATAGTTTGAATGTCGGCAGCATTCCCCCTCAGTAGAATACCGTACCACATTATGTTATGAAAATACGAGTAACTGAAGTAAACAAGTCGTGCTGTATCAATATCAGTCAATTCTCGAATTTTTCTAACTGCGCACGCTGCTGAACTGAGTCTACTCGAAAATTTATATGTATTTTGGCCCCACTGTAGGTTAGAATCTAATGTTAGTACTAAAAATATCGTTGTATCCACAAAGTTTAGCTCGACATCCTTGATCATCACAGTGGTTTTCACTGGCTTGACGTTAGGCGTGGTGAACTGTATACACTTAGTTCTTTTTCATTCAAATGCAAATTGTTAACGTCAAACCAATGAACCACTTTCGAAATGGCGCTGTTTACGTCTGTGAAATAAGTAGAATAACAGTAATGTATCATCTGCAAATAACACAATCTCGTGATTATCCTTGACAAGGTGAGGTAAGTCATTTATATATAATTAATATCAACATAACATCACATATTGCATGTTAATATCAACTTTCTAAATCCCATTAATTAGATATGAAGCAAAAAGTGCCAGTGCTTTATTTTTGATACCATAGTGCTGTAATTTCCTGATCCGCGTTTCATGAACAACACAATCAAAAGCTTTAGATAAATCGCAAAAGATACCTAGAGATTTGTGGGCATTGCATCTTTTTTTTAATTTTATTTAAATGGCACACATAAACACAGTTATAATTATGAAAAAATTATTTAAAACAATCCAAAAATCAATTTGAAAAGTCGATAGTCATAGATAAAATAAAGGCAACATTATGCAGCTTTGTCATAAAATACTCTTTTACTGTAAAAAAACAGTGCGTGAATAAAAAAAGAAAAACCTAATAAATTTTTTCCTAGCCTTTCCCAAAAAAAAATGTTTTATTTATTTATTTATTCTTCATTGTACACACTTAACACATACATATATCTAAGTAACAAGGAAATGTCATGTACAAAGGCGAACTTAACCCAAACTGAATTTTCTTCCAGCAAACCTTGAACGAATAGAGGACAACAGGGAAACGTGAGGACACAGTCATGCGTACTTAGGAATCAACACAGAGGCATATAAATTAAACAAATACCGACATTAATTAGGATAGTAAAATATATTGTACGTATAAATACATATATACACACATACATACATACATACTAAGGGTCTGATTATTGAAGGGACTGATAATAATTCCTGGTACTCTTCCTGAACACGCTAAGAGAAGGGTTATTGCGTATTGCAGGTAAAGCATTCCATAGCCGAACAGCGGCAACACTAAAAGAGTTGTCATAAGGACTCGAAGTGTGAGAGGGAGTTCGAAGGAGGAGAGAAGAAGAAGAGCGACAAAGATTGCTCCTGGGAACAAAGTGCTCGAAGCGCTCACGGAGATATGAAGGACAAGTGGGGTTGTATAAAGTTGAATAGAGTAAGGAATGAATGTGGAGATCTCGACGCCGCCGAATGGGTAACCTATTTAGCTGTTTCCGAAATTCCGAAACATGATCAAACTTTTTAAGACCAAATATGAAGCGAATACAGAGATTTTGTAACCGTTCTAGCTTACCCCAGAGTTCTTCGGTAGCGTCGAGAAAAGAAACATCAGCATAGTCAAGAAGGGGAAGAAGAAGGGATTGAGAGAGCAGGACTTTAGTCTGAAAAGGAAGAAAATTTTGAAGACGTTTGAGAGAGTGATATGTTCCAAAAACCCTTCTACTCACCTCTGTAATGTGTGTGGTCCATGACATGTTGCAGTCCATAAAAACCCCGAGATTGTGTCGAATATGGTATAAGTCTTGTTATAGGACACTGGAGGAAGTGAAGTGTGATCAAGGCTATTATACATGTACCTCTCACCTATAATGATGGTTTGAGATTTAGCGGGATTGACAAGCAGCCCGAGCGATTTTACCCATGTACATATGTTCTGCAGATCATTATTGATGGCAGTGACGGCTTCTGTGATTGCATCAACCTTGAAATGGCGGTATAGCTGCAAATCGTCTGCATAGAGATGATAACGAGAAGAAATAACTTTGGTGATTTCATTAATGAAAATGGAGAAGAGTAGAGGCGATAGTACGCCACCCTGGGGCACGCCTGCAGTAAGGTCACACTAGTCTGAAGATGTCTCATGTGCGAACCAGTTGCGAGTGACCCCGAAGATAAGAATTGAACCAGGCGATTACAGAATCAGAAACATTAATTGTCAAAATCAACAGAGTTAAAGGCGCTGCTGAAGTC